CTTTTTACACCAAGGACAACAAGTCGGACTGCTGAACATGTGGAACCCTTTTATACCAAACGCAGCATCCCTGTGTACACAAGGGCACGGGTCAGGCAGTATGCCTTATAAGTTGGTGGTGTTTATCTTTAATACACCTACACCTGAAGGCTTTGAGCCTTATCCGATATCTATATCCTATACCTAAAAATGAAAGACCAATACAGTTTCCTGTGGTAGTGTTAAATCCCTCGCAAACAGATATCGAGTGCATTTATTCTGTTTTAGCAAAGTACATTTCTCTTTCTCGACAATCAATTTAGTTTCATGGAAAGAGGTCATTGCATAAAACAGAAGCTTTTGATTGCCTGAAGCACTTTCGCCTTCAAAAAGCATGTAGTTAACTAGGGAGAAAGAATGAAGCTTGAGTCCATTGTATCTCAAATCATATCTTTTATACATGCCTGATTAATTATATATTGATGCGACTCGCAAAGAATTAGGCATTAAAAAATTATATTCATGAACCACTAAATCCATCAATCCAAGAGTCCCTATCACAGAATCAAATTAACACCTTTAACACTCTTTTTGCTACTCCATAAGGCATATTACCCCCACTGTTGACTGGATGTGGCTGCGTTGCCAGTTGTGTCCCCTGGAAGCATTTAAGAAGCAAAGCATAATTTCTAATTCTGAATTTTTTTAATTTTAAATTTACACAACATATTGAATATAAGTTTACAGCTTGTTTAGATGTGGTAATAGTTGTTTTGTGGTGGACTTGCCTCAGCTTACTGACTATACAACCTTGTCTGTACAGTATTTACTGTGTATATTAGCAACAGGAATACCATCTCTATTTATCTCCCCCTCTTTTTTGTCCACTTTTCTCTCATTAATTACAAACAAGAAAAAGTAGTTTTAATGTACGCGTGTTAAGACAAAATCAGTAACAAAATAGATAACCTAATTATTAAATGAATTGTAAATCAATGTAGCCATTTAAAGTAAGAATTGGACGTCATGTCTCGTGTCTGTGCGCTATCTAGAGCCAGAAGGCGATTAGCTTAACTGAGCATAAAGACTGGCAGCAGGGGGAAAAACTAGCCTGACTCTGTCCAAATTAGGGTTGGGCGTTATGTTAAAATTTTCCAACCGGCCACAGTCAGTCCAGCATTAGAAAATTGCAGGTATAGTTGTGTGTGCTGCGAAAAAAAACCCTAGTCCAGATGAGGAGAAAATAAGGAGAAAATTTGTAAAAAAATGGGGGACTGTGGAGAGCCAAGAGCGAGGCGCTATAAAGGTTTTTTAATGATGAGTTAAGCAGGGTGTGCATAATAAACATGTATGTCTATTATAATAAAAACAATTGGCTTCAATTCAGTGGTTCTGTTGAGGAGAGGTAAATAAAGTTTTTCCAGCCCTGTATTCAATAGAAAGCTGTCACTGCTCTCATTAGTGGTAACAGACTCGGCCTCTACTTCTTCTAAACCACGTCTTTCACTTTCACGTTGTCCTTGCTTAGAGCTCTGCTCAGCCCACCAGCATTCCTGGACTCACTCAACAATGGTATGTGGTCTGTGTTTGGCCAAGCTGCCATACCACTCAGGACAGAGCAGAGCTGAGGACATTTATCATCACACCTCAGTGGTCAGCTGAATTATGGCTTTCACCTTTGATAGCAAACAGGGACTGACGAATAACCTTTTGTTTTGAAAGGCCAGACGAGATGAAAAGATGCTGTATTTCCCACTTTTTTCCTCCTTTCTGTTTCACCACTGTTTGCTTCTTTGTTTAAAAGATTATGAAATGGTTCCACCTGCATAATTATAAGGAATTTATAAGGAATCTTTTCTAGCTTGTCAAAACAAAATTCTAAGAAGTGGATTTGATTATCAGAACAGGATTGTCCCAAAAGAAAAAATGTAATCCAGGCCAATCCAAATCTTTGAAGGCTGTCTCTTTTACATGGAATGGAAGAAATTTACTCTGTTTCTTCACCACATCTTCCCCAGCATTGTTTCATGAAGGAATTTCTGAGAGTGCACGAGAGGCCGCTCAACCACACATATGGCCTTGGTGGATGTAGACCGACAGATGGCAGCCACAGGATTAGGGTTCTGCAGATTGTAGAGGTGTGAATTATGTAATCTGCAAACTGCTCTGAGAATGTGTGTGTTGCTGTGTGTGTGTTATGAGGTCGGTATTTGGCCGTGGCTTTTGCACAGATAGCTGCCAGGCTTTGGCACTGTGGATTTTCAGGCTAAGAGATGAAATGCTGAAAGCCCCCTGGGGTAGCAGGGCGCACAGGGTGATCGGGTTCACCAGCGTTCACCTGCTCTGCCACTGCGGTCAGTGTCAACTGAGAAAGATTAGAGAAGAAGAGACGTTTGTGTGTGTGTGTGCTTTCTTTCTTCCTCTGTGTTCTGAAAGAGATGATAGATAACAGACAGCACATCCATTGTTTGCCTAGGTGTAGTTTCTCCTCTGCTCTGCTGTAGACTTAAAACTAGGATCCAACCACGGCTGTTTGGGAATGGACAGGAAACCCCACTCATTCCCCCTCTCTCTCTGTTGCGTCATTCAGCCTCTGGAATGATCGTATTATGGTGAACTGTGCACATTTCAAATTACCCTGAGAGCTAGCCCACCTACTTGGTAAACTTTCATCATTCTCTGTGCAGCCCCCTAATGTCTCTAATATATAACTCATACGCTGCTAACTGTAAGCAGATAACCTTTTTATGCATCATAAATGGCTGCTTTGACTGCACTGATCTGGATGTTTTTGATGTTGAAACTACAGTAGAAGAACTCACTGACACCGACATATCAGCTTTTGTGAGGATATGTGTGTGCTGACCAAACGTTCAAAACAAAGACCACAAGCAGTCAAATGCTCATTAGTGTCAAGTGTCTGAAGAACTGCTGACAGTTCATTGAGCTATACTATACGTCGTCCACACTTGTTACTTTCTCCTAACCCCAATTGACATGTTAACCAGTCCAGCACACACCTCACACTTCACCACACAGGCGCACAGCTGGAACGCAGACCTTTTCATTTGATGCCTGGAAGTGCTCAAGGCCCTAAGCAATCAGAAAGAAAAAAAAAAAAAAGGGAAAACATCTTGACACCGACTCGCCACACTGATGAAAGCCTGTCTGCATGAACCTCAGTGCTGCTCACAGCCTGTAATTGAAGAGCAACCTAATTACCAACCTTACTTTGTGAGAAGTGGCATGTTACAGAGCTGCTTCACTGCTAAGTTCTGCCTCACTAAATTACCTCAAAAAACTTAATTTTATACATTCTTATGTGGACTGATATTTGTTCCTTTCTCCCTCCTCTCTCCTAGTGAATTGGTCCTGTGAGAGTACTATTATTTTGCCTCATGAATAACAACCAAGGGAATTATAGGAACATTGCATACTTTGGATAATTGCACTGTTCTAGTGTTTCTGACCATAGTGTTTTGTCATGAAAGTTCAAATCATTTAGTAATTATCATAAGATAGACCATGTAAACATAGTGTTTATTGATAAAACAGTGGAGATTAAGGGTATTTGGAAGCACAGAGCGTAAACAACTGAATACTAGGGTGTACCATGGTCGACATTGTACGTTGGGTGACAGTTTTGGTAGATGGCTTACCAACTGAGCTCCTTCCAAATGTCAAAACTACTATTTGCCAGTGGGTTTCTTCAAAGATAAAAGGGGAGAGGAGATGAAAGAATGGCCTGCCCTTTTTCTTTCTTATTTTTTTATCAACCATGTCACACACAGTTTGAAGTTGGCGAGACACAAATACTTTACTTTGCTGATCAGATAACTGACGTTGTGTGAATCACTAGTTATTGGAAGGTCTTTGAAGGCCGAGCTAGTGGGCAGTTCTGGTATCTGTTACAAGGTAGGTACAGGAATTAATGAGCAGGACATACAGTAACTCTTATTGACGTCAGATGCTATTATGAATTGCATCTAAGTTTATATTTTTAATCGACTGCTTACCTGACTGCTTATCAATGAAAACCTACTTTTCTTTTAAATGTATAACCACTAAGGCTTCACCTGCTAAATTACTGTCGTTGCTGCGTTTTAATCATTTCTTTGCTAATGTGGCAGGAGGAAAGAGACTGGCATTGTGAATTGGTTGCTAAGAGCTTCCTCTTCCTGAGTCTTGGTGTTTTTGGTGTATTATAATAGATTAAGCTGTTGATGTGTGACTCACAATATGTGTTTGCTACTGTGCCTTCAGCCTCTGTTGGTGGAGCTGGTGGCCTGAGGGAGACTAGGATAAACAATATTATGATGGCACTAAGCGGAAATAATGTCCATACAAGCAGGGTGTGAATGTTGACGTATGACGTGTGAATGTTGTTGGTGCGTTTTATTTCTTTCTGGGTAAATGTTCTTATTGCTGAGTCTTTTATTTCGAGACTACCTTTGATTGTGACTTTGAGTGACCCAACAATCACATTTGTGTTTATGTCTCTCTAATTTTTTTTCTGGCTTTTTATGCCTTTAATGGATAGCAGCAGCCGAAGGTAGACAAGAAAGGGGGGGAGGGAGAGAGGGGATGACATGCAGCGAAGGGCGACAGCCAGGAATCAAACCCAAGTCGCTGCACTTAGCCTTAGTTCATGGGGTGCACGCTTTACCGGGTGGGGCGCCCCTATTGTGACCTTTTTTTTTAATGTTAAATATGTTTTGACGGATGTGTAGCCTTGGTGAAAGTCAGTGCTCTCTGAGTGCTTTCAACTTCAAATAAGTGACACGATAATTTATATTTAGTCACTGTGCCTCCATTAGGGCAGATTAAAAGTCATGAAAGACCAACACAAACACCGCCTACATACAGGAGGCTATTAAAGATTAATTAGCCATAGTACAAGCAGGCAGCCTGCCTAGCTTTTTGAACTGTAAAAAGCCATAGTTGTTTTTGTTTGGGGAAAACTGTATTTGTTGTGCCCACTTGATATACCAATTGAGCTTTGTTCACTTCTTTTTTTTTAGATCAAAAGTGGTAAAACGGAGAAGGATTGTCAGCAGCTGCTGCTGAAGAGCCTGCAGTACCTGGAGCGCTACATTTACCTCATCCTCTTCAACACATACCTGCATCTAGAGAAGAAAAACTCCTGGCAGCGCTCCTTCACTCTCTGGATGGAACAGGTACACTATCTATGCCCCACTTATACTGTTTTCTAATATTTTCTATCTCACTTTGATATTTATAGACATATGCATTTTATTTGAATTCCTATTTCTGACAAATAAAATGTATATAGGAAATGTGATTGATAACTGAGCAGGACACAAAATAGAAAATAATCTATCAAACACAATTAGAATTCTATGAGGTGGATATATCAAGTTAATGCTGCTGGTATTGAGTCCTTCCTTGAATTACCCTTGGAAAAATAGCAGAAAAGCTGTTCAAACTAAGCCATCTGCATGTTGGATCTGTGCTGTATTGAGTAAGTCAGCATTGCCTTCCGGCACTAGAGAAGGGTGAAAAGACTTGTTGGTGGCCTCAGAGACTTTAACCACTTTGTCATTTGCCACTCTGCATGAGTAAGATTGGCTGGTTATTGCAGTTTCATAATCTAGCAGGACAACAAATTTATAATTACCCACAATGCTGTATATGCAATAATGCATATTTCTGATTCTGATTCTGATTCTGAATGCCATGTGTCAATAACTTGGCGGAAGAAAAAAGATGAGGGGAAGATTCCTTTTCTTTTTTTTTTTTTAGTTTGTGCACATTGTAAACTGGTTACCAGAGTTTCATTTTGGTTTTCCTCCAGGAATTTACAAGCTGGTTCTGGTTCTATTGTGGCCTGGTCTTTCACACACTGAACTTCATAATGTCTCGGCTCTGTGTTTTTGTTGGTACATTAATCGTTTGGCCAGCTGTGCCCCTACAGTAAAGTTGAGAATTCATGTGCATTCCAAACAAATGAGTAGTCTGTAAGTGGTACCCAACACACCCTCTCACACACACACACTGCAATTAAAATGTATGTTGCAATATGGTTGGTAATATGGTGGTAAAAAAGAAGTACTTTGGCAGGTTGACAATGCACATTCAGTGTGATCAGTTAAAGCTGCAGCTCACGAAATGTATTTTAAATGTAAACAAATGAAAAATCTGCGTTTCTGGTTTCATCTAATTTCTATGCATTTGGTTTTAATTAAAAGGTGTTAGCTGTCTGGTTGTTATCTTAACTGTTGGACCGAGGCTCGGCAAAACCTCCTTAAATCAGATTTTAAATAGAAGTAGCATATTTCCACCGCAGAGCAACCATCAGCAGCAACTTAACAATATGTTTTTTCTTTAGGCTGAATGATGTGTTTTTCATGTTCGTAATCTCAAAGTTTCAGATTGGGGTGTCTAAAAAGTATGCTAAAAGCAAACAAACAAGCCGTGGTCATGATTTGGATTTCACGTGCAATTTTGCAGCCATTTTCTATTCTTATTTGTGAGCAGACGGCCTGGAGAAACACGGCCAAGAGCCTGGATTGTTTGAATTAAAATCTCTTCCTTCTTTTCCCTTATTGAGGTGGAATAAACTCAAAGAAAGAGCGCGGAATTCCAAAATAGACTGGAACAATAGCTGTGCAAACAATTGTCACAGAACTATACGCGGTCAATCGGGTCATATTCTTCCTGTTATGAATAGCAAATATATGTGGTGCATCAGAGTGACTCTAATGGCCCAGTTATGCCATGAGAAAATACAAGCGTGCACACAGGGAACGGGAACGCTCTGCTGTAAAGCAGGCAATAGAAACACTTGACATTATGGAATATTTATGTATTTTATCATCTAGGTAGCCTTTTGTTTTTGTTCTGTTCTTTCTACTGAAACTGCCTTCTTGTGAGCAGTTTTAAACAGCAGTCTGGTCTGGTCTCTTCACTATGTTTTCCAGCTAGTCACTAACTGCGTCTTTTCTTTCATTTGGTGCTGAGTAGGTAGCGTACAATGGGTTTTTAGAGCTGAAAACAGCTGCCTCCTGCGGCACAAAATGCTGCTGTGTGAACCAGAACGGTAAAGTTGCGGCCGGAAAGCTCAACAACGAATTGAAACGGCAGCTACAGATTCGGGTGATAATTCTTTGTAGGTTAATAAGTCTACAATACAGCAATAGTGATGCTTGCACGCACTGCAGTTAATCCATAGACTAGGCGTGCTGGTTCATAAAAATGTACATTGGCGGATACACAACACAAAAGCGGGTGGGTGAAATAGTATCTCCACATTAAGAGAGACATTGTGCGCATTTAGGCACAGGGCACAGCAGTGTAAATGTATTGATTATTTAAATCACCTGACATGCCAACAGGATCAGCCAGGGTTTAATATTGATTAAATGCATATTATTTAAGTTATTAATTTAATTTAAGTGTATGTCGCCACTCCCCTCTCTTCTTTCAAGTTTATAACTACAGTTGCTGCTTAAATGTCCCACAATATTTGCTGCAGTGATATAACACTCATGGAAACATTTCTGATTACTGAAAGCAGCCTCTCTAATCATTAAAGTGAATCATCAAAGAAAACACTCATCAATACAACACAGAATGAAGCACCTGGAAAGCTTGTGCTGCATAATTTAACACAAGGATTCAGATGAACTCAGTGCTGATCTGCACCTCACTAGTATACAAAAAATACACTTCACTGTCATCAAGAAATAGCTTTTTACGAGCAATACGTTCACCATGAAAGAAGGTTCAGTCAGCCGCAAAAGTAATTTACTCGATAGGAATCTTGAGATGTTGAGATGTAGTGAAAGTATTTATATTACTAAATTGTTCTTATTGTGCCTGTTCTGCCCTTTAGACACAAGCCACTTCCAGCACATTTTGTTGTGCAGCCATTACTTCTGAAAATCCAGACCCCTCACCTCTGATCTTCTTCTTTGATAAACACACTTCTTCCATAGAATCCTCCCAGCTCATACTGCTACCATTTCAGTGTTCTTTTATGTAAGCGAGTAGTGCTATTGTCAACCCGCATTCTTCTTTATAGTCTCTTCAGGTTCAGCAGTTAAAGACCTCATTTTAAAAGCTATTTACACAATTAATTTCCAAGCTGACATGATCATAATAGCCAAGTTTTATCAGTGCAAATACACAATTATATGGCTGCTAAGTATGAACAATATTCATAATTATCAGTCTGCTAAATATGCACCATGGAACCTCAGTGGTGAATTTCCTCTCTGGCAATTCTCTGGCATTACCCAGAACACCTTGGGCCATGTCTGAGCTAGATGACAAAAATGACCCAGCATGTACCTCAGACGTGCCGGTGCAGTTTGCCCTCACCTCCCTGGCCACCGGGAATGTCTGGGGAGAAACAGATACCCAGGTCTGGAAATCACAGTCATCCATCAACTGGACTGAGCGCATCGTCTGGTGACACCATAATATATTAAATGAGCCATTTTCTTCTGTGGAACAGACTGAAATCAAGAGATGATGCTATTTGAAGTCTGGCGGCTTTAACCAGAGCATTAGACTACACCTGCATCAAAGCACTGTTTCATTGCTGAAATGGTAAACAAAATTGTGCTGTTAATGTGGGATGCATAGTGCATTCTCATATAAGAGCTGGTATTCAAATAATAGCCTGCGCATGGCCAGCCTGAACAAAACAATAAAAGCCAAGTAGAAAACATATTTAGGGGGGTGAAATTAACTGTGGCCTTCTCCAACCATACACAACAGAGTAATGTGGTACTTACTACTCTAATTTTAATTGATTCTGTTAAAAAAGAGAAACTCAGAGCAGAAAAAGCCTACAGATAAAAGGAAGGTTTCAAGACTTTTAATGTGAAAATTCTGCAGAAGGTGTTGCGTTTTATCCATGGTAGCTTAAAATTGTTAAGGTAAAAAGGCAAAGTAGAACACCTGACATGACTCTTGATGTACTGATGAAATTAGTGTTGTGGGGAATGGACAGTACACTGAATTTATCAAGAAAGCAGGTAAACACTGAGGACATTTTGAGTCTGCATTAAGTGGAGAATAGGGGGACATTGGAAATAAAGCCCTGGTTCTCTCTGTCACTGAGGTAAATTAATGACCACCATTTAAGAATTAACCTAATTTTCAGAAAATAGTTTTTCTGTGCCCTCTGGTTGTACCTGGTACTTTGGTGGTACTAGAGACTTGTGGCATATTCACTTTTTCCACTGACTAAAAGGAAGTTTAATTAACAGCTAACTAGCCTGCTGATACACCCTGGCCACATGCTATTGCTGGTGACACCTCAGACCATCTCCATCACCAGACACAGAGTGCAGTGTGGATGTGCCGGAAACCTGCTGGGGCTGTTTCACTCCTGTGAATAAATCATCAAAATCTCATTACTATCTTGATTCTGGTTGGAGCTTTGAATGGAGCTGCCACTTGAATTAAATCCAACTCCCTTGATGATTAGACACCACCTGTAGCTAACGAAATGTAAAGTTTGATGGTTTTCACATTCTGATTGTCAGTGAACGCTAACCTGACTGTGCCAGTTGCTTTGTTACACAGAAACCAAATCATCGTTGGAAACTGTTTCAAAAAAATACCAGGCAGGGGATTGTGTGAATTATTTGTCTAGTACCACAGGCGTGCTTCAATCAGTCAGATCAAAGAACCATATAACATGTAACGCAAGACAACTGAAAACATCTTTTCCATTGAGAAACGCCCTACTCTCCAATTCTGATTAAACCGCCCACCCCCGTACATGCTAGTACTTCCTCAAAGGGCACTAATTGGTCCAGTACCACTGTACAGGCCAGTGGCTTCAAACACACTGATTGAAGCCTGGCAAAATGGATTCTTGCATGATTTCATAATGTTGCGAGTCCGGTTGCCTCGCAAGGTTAAGTGAATGCTGGTAGACGTCCGAATGCAGAAACATGCTATGAACATACATATATATATGTACTTTATATGGTCACAGATATGGTTGTTGCTTAAATGTCAACTACATGCAGGGAAAGTTATCCAGTAATACCTATTCTGTGTATTTACTAATATGTTCTCTAGATTTATTTTAATTTTCGGCAGCAATTGCACTGTTATTGTTTGGATTGAACAGAAAGAACCTTCAACAGCTTGTCATAGCACTAGACACTGAGCAAAAGGAGATCTCTGTGAAGGG